TTCTTCAAAAATTTATTGCTGGTAATAATTTTTTACAAAGTATTTCTGGTATTAAAACCTATTTTACACTTTCATAAAAATTTGGTCTCAGTTTCGGTTTAACTATTTGCCCATAGCTGGGACCCTATCAGGTGCTACCACCTCGGGTTTGAATGGATCTAGGAACACCAGCAATTAAGAGGCGGCTCCATACTCCTCAAAACCTCCTGATCAGAAGCCTTGCTGTTGAATTTAGTTTATCGTCTTACATAGGATGTAGTTTATTGTCATACTCATGACGGGATGGAAATTGAAATACGTTAAGAGGGTTAGAAACTGAAATACGATGGGAGATGTTTGAAATTTAAAGTAGAAGTAGAAATATAGAAAAATACTTACATTTATAGGAATAGGTATTGAATAGGTTGTTAGAAGTGAAAGTAAACAATATGGTGGGCAAATTAGGAATATCAATACCTTGATAAGAATAAAGTTTGAACTACGTGCAAGGAGAGAAAATTGAAATCCGCTGAAAAGAGTAAAAACTGAAATTAAAATATTGGTGATCAAACTGAGAGGTGGGGGCGCGTAGGAATAGAAATCCCGCGAAAAGAAAATGAAATTAAATGCATTGATAAAAGTCGATTCCAAAACACGATCAGAAAATTCGAAATTGAAAAAGATATGGGCAGAAATTAAAATAATGTGATAAGAGGATTACTTGACAATATATATATATATATATATATATATATATATATATATATATATATATAATCATAGTATGGAAAGTCAAATCCCTAGATAAGTGCTGAAAATTAAAAAGAATGATAAAATTATAACTTGATAAATTGTTATTTAGTTTCCATCTTAACATAAGGAAAAGGCAGTTGAAGTTTCTGGAAAACATAATGAAAGGGGGTGGGGGCTGGATAATCTGATAGTCCCGGGTCGAATAGAGGGAAAGAGAGACAAGGGAAAACAACGTGTGACATACCTGGCGAACTCAAGTGGATGACAGAACGTGGTCTGGGGGAGGAGACGGAGGGAAGTAACTTGTCAAGAGCTGCAAGGGAGAGAGGGAGGTGGAGAGCCATGATCGCCTACGTCCTGAAATAAAAAGAAGATTGCAGCGTGGTGGCTAGCCTACTAAGTACGACACCCCGAGGCTGATTTCAAGTGGTCTACAAGTGAACCCTCGTTTCAAGCTCTACAAGAGTGGGGGTCGAAATAAAACGATTATGTATTATGAAACACATAAGCTAAAACCGATATATGCAATTGTTTTATTACGCGACAGATATTGCGAAACTTTACAATATACATCCATAAATCTATACCAGTCTATTACAAATATATCGGATACCGTTTATCAATTTGCTTTCGTTACATTATTTTCTGATCAATGGAATATCTGTATGAGATAATGGTATCTAAGTTGTGTTTTATAGAAAATCAAATATAAAAGTTTTGAAATTTTCAAAATTCGATTAAGATTTGAAATACTTGTTAAAACTTTCAACACGAATATTCTTTGCAACTATTATAATTTTATAATAAAATATTAAAAGTGAATATAATAACAAGCAATGTACTAATCTAAGTCATAATTTTGATTCTCGCGATTTTCAATTCAAAATGTCAGCGGTAACGTGTTTCTAAACATATAAATCGTCAACAAAAATACTGTGATATATTTTTTCCAAAGTCGTATTTTTATATTAAACTAACAATTTTGAAGAATGTTTACAAAGATGTTTTAATACCTACAGAATTAATGGAAATTATTTATAAGCAGCCAATTTGCGGAAAGCATGTTTTTATATTAAAACACTCAAATACACAGACGAGTTAACATAAATTCCCACTAAAAAACAAACAAACAAAAAACAACCAAAAAAACAACAAAAACCAAAAAAATATCTACTGGAAGGCGTGTATCCACAAAATATAACGTTTGCAGAAATAAAAACTGTTGTCCTCATCTTTATTGCTATATTCACAAGGTTTCAGCCGTTGTACGCTCCAGCTTTCTTCAGGTAACTGAGATTTCGAACTGAACCCTTTATTTCGTCCATTGGGTTAGGTGATTCTAGTTCCACGTGTCGCGCATCTTCCGGATATCTCCCTTTAACTCAACTCTCCAGTTTTTTTTGTTCACCACTTCATTAGCCAGGTCTTGAACTCACAACTTATTGAGACAATCACTCGATCCAGCCAACGCTTTTACCCATTGAATCATGTCTTGAGAAAAGTATGAATCTAACTCATCTTCCCCTACCTAGGGGTTAATTAGTAAGACTATATCAGTAAATCATTATTATCTCGAGAAAATTCAATCTAAATTCTTGTCTATAATCAAAACATTTACTTACAATCTGAAAATAACTTTCTTTTCTCACAATGCTCTCTTGTGGATCTGCCTGCCGGCAACATGTTTTCCAACCATTTTTAATCTGAAAAAAATTTACATGCAATTAAAATCGATTTTCTGTGCTCTTGATTAGTGTGGAAGTGTAAGAAACAGAAACATTGCTGCTAAGTTTCCAGACCCAGTAAACAATTGTGTCTCTGTGGCTTTACTGTCTTACATGAGGTGAACTTGATTAAATAAATAATGAAAAAAATTACGTGAAGATGGTGGAAAAAGGCATCAAAAGCCAATCAATCAATCAAAACTAATGATTAAAACAAAATAAAGTAGTATCAAGTTTGATGAAATATTTCAATTCAAGTAGACTATTCACCTACCATTATATCAAAACTTCAGATATAATTATTGTCATAGATTTTAACCGTTGACCACACACACACACACACACACACACACACACACACACACACACACACACACACACACACACACACAAAATGTTTCAAACAGAAATGTTTCCCTTTTGACGATGTTTGGTTGGAACAAAATTTAAATAAACGTTTTTTTGTTAGTTGCGTTTAAACGTTAATGTATATTTTTACATATTTACTGAAATTTAGAATATATATATATATATATATATATATATATATATATATATATATATATATATATATATATATATATTTATAAATATAGATAAAACTATCCTTCATTTATACATATGTTTCATTAAAGACGACAGACAAGGTACTGAATAAGTTTTTTATTAATTTTTTTGTGTTCGATAAAGTGATTTATTTTCTAGACACAGAGTGTGTAGAATCTGTCCAAATGTTCAATAATTGCGAGCGCTTTCGGCTATACTTTTAGTCATTATGAAGGATAATTTTATTTTACTTTTTAATGTATGGGTTGGGTGTATGTTTCTAGAGTTATAGGGATGTTTAATGTACCGAACACAGCACATAGTGGTTGTGTTCGTAATTCATATTATTGAGCGTTGGCTTTACTATTTATATTATTAAGGCTTCCATTATATTTAATCATTTTTATCTGTGGATGAGGTTATTATATTTGTATTTTCTACTATTATGTTTCGGATGGGGTCTGGTAAGTGTGTGTGTGTTTGTTTAAATGGGTTCTAACAGATCTGTCTTCGGAGAGGTGTAACGCAAGGCGTCTGGATAAGCATGTAGTCTTGTGACTGATGTAATTATTGATGAATTCAGTTTGATAAGGAACACAGTTCCTTAAAGAGCATTTGAACTCATAAATAATGTTTATTCGTTACAATTTTGATTTTACCGGTGTGTTGTTATCTTTGAGGATAAGGTTAACCAATTTAAATTTTTATAGTAGCTAATTAATTTGACTTTTTTTTCGGTTCGATATATATATATATATATATATATATATATATATATATATATATATATGTGTGTGTGTGTGTGTATATATGTGTGTGTATAGATGTAAACAGATGTATATATATATATATATATATATGAATATATATATATATATATATATATATATATATATATATATATATATATATATATACATGTCTCACTTATACACCTTTCTGACCATAGCTCAATTAGATCTCATTTAAATATTCATGAAACCTACCGGGCACTGTTCGCCAACATAGTCGTTGACAACACTAATATAATAGCATCATCTACATGGCAAAAAAGTCTAGATATAATGGACGGCTTATAAAAAAAAACAAACAAAAAAAAACAACAACACTTAATAATATTAACTTTCATCATGGACACAATATTTTGCCCGTGTTTTGAAAAATGAAAACATTTTATAAAGCATACGTATAATAAACTATTTCTTATTTAACAGTTAAAATATTTAATTCTTGAAAATGGCTAAATGTATAGCCGAAAGAGCTCGGCTAAAAAGAACATTCGGACAGATTTTATATAATTTATCATCCGAAAAGAAAAAGAAAATTATTAGATGACATATATATATATATATATATATATATATATATATATATATATATATATATATATATATATATATATATATATATATATTCTGCCTGTTGAATTTAGGTGTGGTTTGTGTATCTTTCTTGTTTTTACGTTTAAATTAAGGATGTTAGAAGATTAAATGCGATTTCATCATTTGGTGTTCGGCATTAGGCTTTCGAAAAGTTGGCTTCTTTCAGTAGGATAAGGCATTCAAATCTTTTTGCAAACTCAGAAGAAATGTACACTTCTTGTTTAGGATGTCCTATTGAACCCGCATACACATTTTACTTTACCCGTTTGGATTAAAATTTATTTCAGTCTTTACTGAGTTAATTTGAAGAACTTCATTTCACCGGAAGCCGGTGAAAATATCTAGAATTGTTCATCATTAAGTAAGCTATCGATTTCTTGGCGGATAAAAACGGGAACGTGCCACAAAGCTTATGAACGGTATTGAATGAAATTGTGCATATGTGTTGAATAAATTCACATAGAAATATCTAAAATTTGTTTTTGAATTCCATGCAAAAAACACTGACATTTTGTCACAAGCTAATGACAGCAAAGTACTGTGTTTCATGATGTTTACAATTGTTTAATTTCATTGTTTTTAATTGGTGAAAAATATCAATACACCTGGATTAAAATTAGTATCGATAAATAGATAGATACATATGAATAAAATTTGATAGATAAATAGATAGATAGATAATCCAATAGATACACACACGCAACCATATAGATAGATAGATAGATAGATAGATAGAAGCAGTGAAACTGATACATAGATTTTTTAAGATAGTTGCAACTGATTTCTGTTGATGAAAATTATCATTGTATTTTGATTAATATAATGATAGATAGATAGATAGATAGATAGATAGACAGACAGATACAAAGAAGCAGTGAAATAGATAGATGATTTAAGATATTTACAATTTTTTATTTGATTGATTTATGTTGTTGAAAACATTGTATTTCGAGTAAAATGTGTATAGATAGATAGATAGATAGAAAGAAAGAAAGAAAGAAAGAAAGAAAAAAAAAAAGAGAGAAAGAAAGAAATAATGTACAAAGTGAGTTATGAGAGGTAGAGAGTTAAACAGGTAAAGAGATTCAAGCATAGAAAGAAAGAAAGAAAGAAAGAAAGAAAGAAAGAAAGAAGCAGTCTCAAATAGCCAGTGAAATAAATATAAACAAATTGAAACTGACATAGTTGTTTGGATTAATTTTTATAATTGGATTATCTCTGGCTAAATCCAACTATACACAATACAATTAAAAAAAGCTCCTAGTTCATTTCTAGATTTCAAAACAAGCTGATTTTGTTCAAGCTGTGTTTTTTAATTTGTGTGAATCTGTTCCCGTCAAGCACATTACAGCACATGTGGCTGGGTTGTCCAAATACACATTCATCTAACCAATCACTTCAGAGTTTACAGTCGTGAAATGTCAGTGAAGAAACGTTTTTCACAATGTGTTTGTTTATAGGACAAATTACAGTGAGGGGTTGATTTATATCTTACGATAAGGGTGCGACTGATAAGTTCATAGGACGGCTATGATGTCATGATTGTAGAGCTGTGAAATCTTGCATGCATTAATTTCTTCTTATTAATAACTGCTTTGTTTCATTCCAGAAGAAAACCCTCATATCACACTGTCCAAAAAGAAAAAAAAAAGACTGTACATCCCAGTGGTCAAAAAAAAGGCAACATCAAATATGACCGCATTACAATTGCGATACTGGTGATTTTTCATTTTGAGGAACATATCATATTTAAATCAGGAGAATAGTGGTTAGTCAAACAGTTCAGAGCTACAGCCCCGCACAACAGCAACTGAAGCCAATAATATGCGTGCTGATGAAAGAATACAGCTTTCCTCAGTTTTCGTGTGAGTATGATCTTGATAGCCTTTCGTAACTGCCTCAGCATGTTACCAGGGTACTCTACATTTATGTTACTCTATATTTTGAAGATATTCAATAAGCACAATGCTTTTTGCATCCCCCACAAAAGGAGGGTATAATCTTTCCTGTAGGCGAAAAAGGCCTTGACGTATAAGTAGCACATAGGCAGAAACTTTCGTCATGCTAAGTTCATTCTGCAGAATATTCTCAACTCTCTCACGAGATATGTTGATAGCACTAGCTATTTGATATTTAGTGAATCGCATGACATTTATCACTATGTAATGAACATGATCAATGATTCCCTCTTGTGGTGTATCCAGCACATTGTTCATCTTCAAGATTCTGCATTCACCTCCTAAATTCATCTGTCTGCTTTTGCACCGTTTATAGAACTGGCGCATCATCCACTAATATTATATTTTTTTATTTTATTTAAGATTTTCACCCCAAGCAAAGCGGGAAGCCACTAGCACGCAAGGGGATACAGAGAGTTAGAGCGGGAGCAAAAAGGAGCGATAGAGGAAAGGATGAAGAGACGGTTAGGGGATAGATCAGGGCATCTGGAGACGTCGATTGACGTTACATTTGAATAGTTGGAGATTATAGCTATCAGGGAAACAAGAAATGTTGAGGGAGTTCCACAGGCGAGAAGTGCGAGGCATGGAGCTATTGGAGTAGAAGAGACGGCTATATTTAACAGTTTCGACAATGAAAGGGTGAGAGCGAGATGCCAGCCTAGTTGAACGCTTAAATTCATGCAGTCTGGGAACCATCGAAAGCAGCTCATCGGAGCAGTTACCGTAAAAGTATTTGTAAAAAAGAGAGAGAGGGGAAACAGCACGTCTGTGAGAAAGCGACTGCAGACGAGATGCCAGATCAGGGCCAATTACATTGCATATCCGTCTCTGGATCTTATCAAGAACCTTGAGACAACCATAAGGGACACCAGACCATATACGGCAGCAGTACTCCATGCAAGGGCAAATGGTTGATTTGTAGATTTGAAGGATCGATTCTGGCGAGAAAAAATTCCTGGTGCGGCACAGGGAGCCAACTTTCCTTGCTGTGAACGAAGATATTGACTTAATGTATTTGTTCTATCTCAGGTCAGCAGTCAATATCAATATCAACATGAATGTCTTTGGGGACCAAATCTATTTTTGGCAGATAACTGATAACACCACGAAGTAAGATGTTACCCATTGTCAAGAGAAATCGCTACATCTGAAGTCTTCTTTGAACAGTCAATTTGTCTGGAAATAACCAATGCGGTTATTAATAAGAATGTTTGACATTAATACGTCCAAGATTTCACAGATCGAAGCATCATTTTTTCATTGCTAACCTTAATTTGTCAGCCCGCCCGCATAGTTTAACATTCGCGGTTCCAGCTGAAACCGTAGACATTTGAATGATTTCGTTTTGTAACTACCATCACGTCCCCTTTTCTCCTCGTGCGTTGTCTTTGAGACGTAGCCATCATCGTCCTAATAATAGTAATTGATCATACTTAGACAATGAATTTCCATTGAAGACCGGGTTGGAGATGTAACGCTGGTAATTTATTGTAAAAGTCAAGAGTCGTTCCGCATAATTTGCTCTCTGTAGAACAATAGAACAATGCACTTTGTTAATTTCATGCGTATATCGAATTTTCTACTCCAATGCAAAGCCTCGCCTCTTGCAATATGTGGTTTATTCTTAAAATAAACAGTATCACAATGACTAAACGGTTGATCATTGAAAATAGAGAAATCTGTTATCTATATACACGTAAATAAAGAAATGAGATTATTATAATTGTTATTTCTTTATCATAGTATTGAATGAAGATAACACAATCAAAAAGTCGAATGTCGTTTCGAGTCGCGGTAGTCTTGCTAAAATCAGTAGTAAGAAGATACGCTAAAGTTTTTTTTTTTTTACTTTTTCTCTCCTCCTGATGACAATTTTCGGCGTCAGTCTATATCTGTTTGGACGAGTTCAATTCTTCCTCTTCTAGAGATGTGTGTTCATCCCGACAATATAATTTAATTTGCTTGACATTAAAGGGGCATAAATATTAGAGTGGTCGGAATTTATCTCAGTATGTAAGAAACTATAATTTATTAATAAAAGTGGCAGGAGTGGGGTAGAAAGTCATAGAAAGAGTAAAGCCTTTCGAATTTAAGTAAAGAATTTTTTTTATCAGAATTTTACATTCACTCCCATATGTCAGTAAATACTGGGCAGTTTCTTCAAATTTGAAGACAAAATCGCGAAAATATTATATTAAAAAAAATGAGAATAACATGGACAGAACATGTTTTTTGTAGTGATGTTTATCTTGTAAAAGGTCCAAGAGCCACTCAAGGTAGAGTGTTACAGTGCAGGAGGCACAGTCTATGCCACGCACATTGCGAACCACCTTCGTTCCTTTCGTATCCGATCGGTAAGTTCCACTTGAGCATCTTCTTCCCCCGAACGACTGCTTTGTAGAACCGACACCCGATCACTAGAGTCATCTTCCGCATATATCCCCATAAACCGTACCTTTTACACTATAACCCTCTTCATCGAGTGATGTTTGGGTTTTGTAAAAGGAGAACGACATTGTAAAAAACACTCCCTGTGTCTTAGTGGCTTTATTAACTTTATTGCATTGAAATGAGTTTAAAATAATTCTGCAAAGATAGTTGTACGTGAAGAATCCCTCGAAGTACAACTTAATGATTATATGAAAAAACTAGCATCAATTAAATATCAACTCGCATAACTCGTTTCAAAATCAAAAATACAAGTGCAAGAAATTCTAGAGATGAGATCAAATGCAGTCAAATTTAAATGATAATACTTTTTTTTTACAACTTAGTGATTGAAAATGTATTGAGCAGGTAGACTAAAATGTCAAGCAGGCATCATTTCACAGGAATTGTTTAAACTTTACATTAAAGCGATCATAAGAGAACTAGAAGTTCTATAAGGATTTATTATTCGGGAACACAATCTTAACAGCCTGACATAAAGAGATGAAACTGTGTTGATGTCAGGCACAGAAAAAATACAGGAACAGTTAAAGAATGAAGGTGAGAAAAGGATTAAGAAATTAATATTAATTGCAAGAAGACATAATACATAGTCTTTAGTTCAGGAGATGAGTAACGGATTGAAGAAGTCCAAGAGCTGCGACAGATGGGAAGTTGTGGAGAGTCATCATCGTAAATGCCCCGAAAGGACAACATACACAAGAAAAGGACTTCTCTCTTTGTCTAAAAAACGAGTTGTTACTGATACTTTTATGAATTATTATGGAAAAATGGATAGCGGCACGGATTGATGAATCGGAGAGACGAGTTCGGATTCCAGTTGAATACATTACATTCACTTACGTGCCAAGACCCTTTGGAAATGTATGAATCCTCTTCTTCGAAAGCTATGGGTAAATTGAAGGATAGATCGTGTTCTTGAATGGCAACTGGTCTACCGCAGGGTTAAGGTTAGGTAAATGGCAGGGAAAAAATCTGCCTCGTCAGTCATGTATCGAAAGATAGATAATCGCATAAGCGCTTATCACGCATGACACATAGCTGACTGAACGCTTTGGTACATATCAATGATGTTTATAGCCGAGGTTCTTTAGGGATTTGGAGCCTTTCAACATTATCCCCCTTTCCACGGTGACCCAGACGATACTGATCGGGTATCAACTTGTGCACATTTTTTCTATCCTCCCGACCACACACTGCGGTTACTCTTGGCAATTTATGGTCCAATTCCGGATAATTTCTGGTTCACCAGCAATTTGCGCTCTTTCATAAAAAATGGAAGCAAACGCAACCACAGTTTTTATCTGGTAAGGAACATGGCGTCGTGCTTGGCTTGAAGTGGTAAGTAACGATTTGTTTCTTTCACTGAGACATATACACATACATGTACACACACGAAAACGCGCTCAAGAATCATATTCTACTTAGTTTCTCGTACTGTGTCCCTTTAGGGCGGAGGCGATCATGGCTCTCCACTTGCCCTTATTCCTTGTAGCTCTCAATAGGTTTTGTTTATTTGCCCCCTCTCCCAAGCCAAGTTCTGTTATCCACTTGCTTAAGCCCGTCATGCATTGCTTTCCCTTGTCTCTCTCTCCCTCTTTTCGACCTTCGAATATTAAATTCTCCAGGCTCATTTCATCTGTCTCTTCCTGATGATAAGTATAAGCTTCCTCCTTGTTTGCATCCTCTCCAAAACCTCACACGCTCAGTCCATAAAATCCTCAACATCCTTCTGTAGAACCATATCTCCGTTGCTTCAAGTCTCTTCTTCATCTTTGAGGAGACCGTCTAACATTCGCTGATGTAAAGGAGGACGGAGGTCACGTAGCAGCTCAGTACTCTTTTCTTTTTTTAGCAAAGATATCCTACTGTCTCACAATACTCTGCCCAGATTTTGGAATGTGTCTTTGGCCATCCCAATAGCTACAAAGGAGAGGAAATTATGGAGAGGCATGATCTCCAACTTCCTGAATGTACGCTGCACATAGAAGAAGAATAGTGTTTGAACATCTGTAGTAGTAGTAACAGCCTACTGTAAAATATGCACCGTTTGGTTAATACTATTTGGGGTTTAGTTATCTTGAAACACACACACACGCAGATACACTCAGACGTAGAGATAGATAGATAGATAGATAGATAGATAGATAGATATCAACAGACTGAGATAGAGAGATATATACAAACTGAGATAGATAGAAAAATATAAACACCCCCACTCCCATATATATATATACAAACAGAGATAGATAGATAGATAGATATGAGCAGACTGAGATAGATGCATATGAACAGACTGAGATAGATAGATAGATAGATAGATAGATAGATAGATAGATAGATAGATAGATAGATATGAACAGACTTGGGTGGATCGATAAATGGATATACGAGAATAGAGATAGATATGTGAAACTTAGAGATATATAAAATGATTATGTAGCAAACTTGGTCACAGATCGATAAAACAGAAATAAAGAAAAATATTACGATAGCTAGAGAGATATGATCAGACGGAGATCGACAGAAATATAGATAGAGAGAGAGAAAATGAATCTGAGAAAAATATGAAGAGGGTATGAAAACCATTTTGAGCCTGGTATAAACAGAGAGAAATGAACAACCGATAAAGGATATCTTGATACAAATATATATACATATATATATGTGTGTGTGTGTGAACAGACTCAGAGGGATCGATAAATACATAGGTTGTTAGGTAGCTCGGTGAAATGCTCGAAGACATGATTAATTAAATCTTTGTTGATGCAAAATTTCGTCACGTGATCTTTTGTAAATATGAAATGAAATTTGTAAAATATCTTTGAAGTTCAATCAATCTTTTATTGTTTTTCTCCTCAGACAATTGCATTTATGTTGTTTACAATTTTAAAGATATATTCTTAGTCTATGAAAATAAGCTACACCTGAATTGACATAAATTTACAAGATTGCCACTGGCAATGGAGAATAGATTTACTCCAAAATTCTAAGACATAGAAAACAATAGCTCGATTTCGAATGGTTTTCTTTATTAAAATATAAACCGAATGCGTGAAGAAAAAAAATGAATTCTACGAACAGGACATTTATATCAACTTCGAATCTAGATTTATTTGCTATCTGTGTATTTGTTCTTCACGTCTTCTATATAAATAGTCTTATATTTCATTCATATGAAAATGCTGCTGTATTTCTGGTGAGTTCACAGTTACTTTTAAATAGTTAGCCTAAACGGAATCCATCCATATAATAATTATCAATGTGCATCCATTTATATATTTCCTGTCCCAACTGTAGTTAAAGTTAATCAACTTGAGTTACTAAAATTATGGGTGATTTCTTCCCATAATCGTTTTAATAATCTATAAAAATAAAATAGATATCTGCATTTAGACAAAATTAGATTCCGAGCAAAATGAAAGGTTTACCTGTATTCTTACGTCCTTTAGTTTGCAGTGTTATTTGTTCAAGCCTTTCATATGAGGCACTCAGATACTTTTGACTATTTGGTGATCGTCTTGATTCCACTTGGTCTTGAAATAGGCTTAGCCTACCTCATGTATTGCTAGTCTTTCTCTTCCGAGAGACATTTCCATTTCAATGTTATTATTTTTAAAATGAAAAGATGTTGAGCAAAAATTGATTTATATAATACCAGAAGTAATCACTGAATAATAGATACCAGTGAACGTCAAAAATACATTAGTAATAATAATAACATCTATTGATTGATAGCTTGATTTGATTTTTACGGCTTATCAACCCATTGCGGGTTATTTAAGAACGAAACATATTTTGGAGTTCTTTCTTTTTTTTTTCTCATCTATAATGCATTACCAGTTTGTGGAAATAACAATGATTTTTTTTGTTGATACACATCTTACTGTTGAAAACCATAGCTGTTTGGGGAGATGATTCCATACCTTTCCTAAAGGTATTTTCGCGAAAGTGGATATAACGAACCCGACCGGAATTGGAACTCGGCTCACAAATTTCTGATTGTGAGCTGAATCAAAGTGAAAAACGAATATAAACATTATAAAAACCAATGTTTACCGGCATGAGCTCCCGAGAAATTTCATAGAAAATATGTATCCCCCGACAGGAATCGAACCTGCATCCTACACGGTACCGACATACAGATTGACGTGCTATACTAGTTTAGCTACGAAGGAGCGTCTGGTTAGCAAACTTGGTTTTATTGCTTTTTACAAACTTCCCACGATTTCTCTCGAACGTCTATATCCATATCTACTCGAAGCGTACATTAACGTAAATGAATGAGGTCACACAGTACGAAATGGACTAAATTCGACAATAACTTTTAATATTTTTTGTTATACGTTATTTATATAGATACATGAAAAGTTTGTAGTTTAAAAGCAGTAAAATCGACCTTAATAACCAGACGTTCCTTTGTAGCTAAACTGGTACAGCACATCAGACTATATCACGATTCCGTGTAGGATGCAGGATCGATTCCTGTCGGAGGGCGCATATTTTCTATGAAATTTCTCGGACGTTCAGGCCAGTAAATATTGTTAATAATGTTTATTATACACAGAGCATGAACAGATTTTAATAGCAGCAAACCCAGCAATTGATTCCATATAAGATTTCCACTTCATGGCTGCAGAAAACTTTATGAAAAGAAAGCGTGATGTGTCATTCTCGTAATGGCTAGTATCAGCCATACTTACGGAATGCAAAAAAGTGTTCTCTCAGTCGATTAAAAGAGAACAGTTTCATTTTGGAGGCGCTAATATTAACAAGTCATTACTTGACCCAGTTAATAACTTATCGTAGGATATTTTTGAGATCGGATAAAAAATTGTTATTATCGAACCGATCAGATTTATTTTAAGTCAATAGTTGTATCATCAGCATATATACCGTGTTGAGGATTGATGATATTAGGAAGGTCGTTGATAAAAATTAGAAACAGTGGCAGTATTAAAGAGGTCAAGATGCCTGCTACTCCAAGATTCTTTGGCGTGCCATGACTTTGGAAAGCTGAAACAAACCACCGAGCCATGTGAGTTAGATGACCTATTGACATTCTTTCCCTGTATCTTCTCTCTTTCTCATTTCCACACAAGAAATAATGCCGAGGGTTGACCTTACTGTTAGAAAGATTTTAAAGAATAGTAAAAGAAATAAAGAAACCTGAAGAAAAATATTGTTTAGTGAGTGATACAGCGCCGAGAGTCCTCCTGATGAATTTTCAAAATACAGAAACGATATTTAATAAAACATGGGATTTGAAACTACAAAATTCTTCAATCTAAAATAATGGTAATTATATATTCGATTACAAACGGTTGCATAGTAAAACTTCTGCATTATATAACGGTTTAAAACATTTCTTAAGGAGGAAGTCTGTAAGAAAATGATTCAGACGTTCACAGTATATCAATGCCTTCAGGAATACTTGTACTCTGTAACCAGCTCATTATTTAGATTTCAAATATAGCATTCAGTCGTTAATAATTATTTTGTTGAACTAAGTAAACATCATTAACACCATTTTTCAATTAAATATCGCAGTAGAAAGAGGAGAAACTCAACATGTCAATTCAAGCATATCAAATATATATATATATATGTATGTATGTATATTTGTGCATATATATATATATATATATATATATATATATATATATACAACACACACATTGTTAATGAAAATGAAAAGATCAACGTATATATACATATATATGTATATATATATACGTGTATATATATATATATGCACACAAATATGTCATTTTAATTGAAAATGAAAAATCAATCATATATATATATATATATATATATATATATATATATATATATATATATATATATATAGTCTTAAGGTGTGCTATATTTATGGGATATAGTGCTCAATATCAGAGATACAGCATATGTAAATATAAATATAGAAGTGAACATAGAAGTTAACACTCACAGGCTGTTTCATGCTGGACGCAATCGTCGACCCCGATTGCGCCCAGCATGAAACAGCCTGTCGCCTCTGAGTGTTGACTTCAATTTCCCCTTTCATATATATATATATATATATATATATATATATATATATATATATATTAGGAGATCAATTCCGATAGCTTGGTTTAATCCTTTCAGTGTCTCCAGGCAGTTTCGCTCACCTGATTTCCTTTAAAATCAATTGATTGAAACCGCCTTCAGATACCCAAAGGTTGAAACCGACTACAAAATGTATTTACTTTATACCTATGGTTTAATAGACGCCATGTTTATGTTTTGAAAATCTGAGTTAGATGACCGACCTGTCTGCAAAATTGAGTAAATAACATCAATGTACTCTCGGTAATGATTGGAACCTAAGTACTTTCTTGTATGAAAAATCATCGTCTGATTTGGTTTTCAAAAAAAGCTTTAAGAAAACACTATTCCATTTACTTTCCTCTACAAGATTGAGCAATGGTGATATCTTATTAAAGGAAATATGCGCTTTACGTGAGGATTCAAATCTACAGCACCCAGATTGAAACATTCGTTCGATCCAACGTGCCATAAGCAAATCGGCCGTGACTTTTAACGAAATCCTTCTCGTCATACATTCCTCGAAATGTTCATATCTGCTCAGTTTCGTATCCAAACGCATAGAAATAATTTTCAAGTAATTGACAGGTAACATTTTGCTAAAAATATGAACGATTAACAAATACAGATCCATAACTTCTTTTGAATATCTATCTATCTATCTATCTATCTATCTATCTATCTATCTATCTATCTATCTCAGTCTTTTTATTATCCATCCAACCAACTATATATATATATATATATATATATATATATATATATATATATATATATATATATATGTGTGTGTGTGTGTGTGTGTGTGTATGTATATATATATATGTGTCTATTTTCAGTTTTTATATTATTTATCAATCTCAGTCTATTCATCACTTTCTCCTTCCACCTTTTCATATCTATCTATCTATCTATCTATCTATCTATCTATATATTTATCTCAGTCTTTTCATTATTTATCTTTCTCATCTATTCATATTTTTCTATTTCCATCTTTTCCTATCGATCTATCTGAACCTCTCTCTGTCTCTGTCTCTCTCTCTATCTCTATCTCTCTCTCTCTCTATATATATATATATATATATATATATATATATATATATACCTATCTCATTTCATTATTTATCTATCTCAGTCTACCGATACCTTTGTATTTGTATCATTTCATATCTCTCTCTCTCTCTACAAACACACACACACAGACACACGCACACACACACACGCACACAGATATATATATATATATATATATATATATATATATATATAGATAGATAGATAGATAGATAGATAGATAGATATGATATTATTTTGTGAAATTATGTATGTATGGTTTTGACAAGATATGCCATTTGTCGGAAATGTCAACGCGGGTTGATTGTACAATGTTATTCACTTATTCTAAGTACTTGTCCATCATTGAATTCATCCGATTAGGATGAATTCAGTTCCCCAAACGATGCCAAGATGCATATTCGCAAGTGAGCAGCTTGTTTGAATATCTCGAATATCTCCGT